AAGCCAAGGCGTTGGACTACAACGGCCACCCGCCACAGCCAGCCACATTTTCTCCAACCTAGGGCCTTGGTTTTAGGCCCCGCAAGGAAAAATCCGGGAAAGGTTTCTGAGGGCTAATTCTCACATCTCCCTAATGGGGGCATGATTTATATGCCAAATCCTGATGATAATTGCCTTTGTGCCATTGCCAACCCACAATGGAAGCATTTTAAACCATTGTCAGCTGTCCCAGTTTTAATGTTTTCCTCTTCTCCCAACACTAGCACGCTTCACTGATGACGTGGTTGATGGCCGGGTCAGGGGCCAGAATCTGCCCATCTCTAGTAGCCGTTTTCGGCCGCGGTGGGCACGTGCCGTTCCCCCTATTGCTGGCCATAATCTTTCACTGCCAAGAGAGAGCAGACATCTGGCTTTTTTAAATGCATCTACCCGCTTAAGGGTACCAGTTCAAGGACTGGTGGATTGCATTTTAATGCAGCGGTCCCTTAAATCTAATCTATAACCATCCATGCTCCAAAGACCATGTAGAATTTGGCACCCACTCGATTATTCCGAACTGCACCCCTCAGGGGTCATCCTTGACAGACAGAGTAACTTTTAGGGTATTTCTCAGCCTTGGTTCCTCATCTGTGTTGGCCTACACGGCAGGAATGCTGTGAAGGGAAAAAGAACAGAGTGCCATTCAGCTTGCCCCCTGGGAGCCTGATAAGATGAGCAAACTTCAGTCTTGCAGGTTTTGTTTTCAGAACAAGTTGCAAAAGGAATTCACTTAAAAAAAAAAAGATTCTCAGCCTAGGAATTGGAGTACCAAACCGGAATGTAGTAAATGGTCCTCCAAGCCAACAACCATTCCTGGTTACTGCTCCTCCATTTCAGATGATTGGGGAGCTGGTTGAAAGGAGAAATCATTTGGGGGCTGCTAAAATGAAAAATCCAGTCTACAGCGGTGGGAGGTAGCGATGCCTTTGAGTTGAGCATGACGTGGAACCCTCCTTAGAGAAACATCTTAGTAGACATAAAACAGCATTCCTATCTCCTTGCCAATATCTGATTTTTTTTTTTTTGGCCTCAACTGAGGCTTGGCTCATGCCAAAGCAGAACTTTCCTTTTTTTTAAACAGTAATTTTATTAGACATTACAATGAAAAAGGTAAAAACTAATACAAATTATGAAAAAGAAGAAAAAGAGAAAAGAGAAAAGAGAAAGTGCAGAAAAAAGAAAGAAACATAAAAAAGAAAGGAAAAAATAAGAATGTAGTAAAGGAAAAGAAAAGAAATATGTAAAGGAGGGACTTCCCCGTTCATCACAACAAATCTAAACAATTTTAGTAACTGATCCCCTTCTCTTAAAATACAACTAATGATTTCTTCTTCCCATAGCCCATCTCTTCTCTATAACCAAATCCTTAAAACCTCGCCGTTCCGTCCTGATCAGCAAAAGTCCATCAAAAGAAAAATGCAACAACTGAATCCAACTTCAGGTAAGAACCTCCATTCACACATCATGTCAAGTCCTGATTTATGGAGTCCTTGGGGTTCTCTGAGCTTGGTCCTTGGTTCAGTGCACTGAAGATGTTACCTAGCCGGGTAATGAAAAGTTTGCAAGGAAAGAACCAAGCTCAGAGAACCCCAAGGACTCCACGGTTCAACCCTGAGCTACACATATTCACCTCTATAAGTCCTGATTTCTTTCAAAACCATGCTTTCTTGACTGAGCCACGATGAGCTGGGCTTCTCCCTCCCGTCTCATCGCCTCCCCTGAAATGGAAATGCAAGCCAAGCCGTGGCTTTTCCCAGTCCTCCGCCCTTGCGTTAAAGACCCCGGGAAAACATGCCTTAGCATCACGCCACTGTTTCAGACCACCTGGCCCTGCTTGCAACAGCCTTACAGTCCCTGGATTCCTCAAGGACTGTCTTTGGGGCCCCAAAGCTACAGCAGAGTTATATTAACCATTCAATACATCACTGGGCAGACAAAGGAGGGAGGATCAGAAACCCCTGATAGCAATAACGGGAAATGCAACTTCTTTTTGCTTGCAACAGAGGCAGCCTGTTAAGACTCACAGCTCCATGACTGCCGGCTTTGCAAGCAAACCATCTTGACTCTGTTTCTTTATTTTTAAGATCCACCAGCCCCCCCCCCGACCCCACCCAGGGGCCCCTGGGTGGGGTCGGGGGGGGGGCTGGGGGATCTTAAAAATAAAGAAACAATGTGACTCCGGGCAGTGTACAGCATAAAAAACAAACCAAGAAAAAGAACCCCCCCCCACAATAAAACAGTAAAGAAATACCATACTGTATATAAATACAAAATATGAAAAGGTGACCGAGCCCATAACAAAACTCAAAAAGCATTTGAGGAAGATCTCAGGGCTGGCGTTACTGAGCTTTCTGGACCAAAAGTCTGTCTTTACCAGAAGCAATTCTGATTTCAGAAGTAGGTATGCAGAAAAGCTTTCGCTCGTTTTTTTTCCCTTTAGGGAGACCCTTGGGGTTAAGATGTTGGGAGATGTTGAGAGCTGCAAGAGTTTTTTTCTATTTCTATATTTGAGTTCCTAGAACAGTGTTTCTCAACCTTGGGCCCCCCCTTTCGGGGCCGGGCGGACTATCGCCGCTCCCCCTCCACTACAACACACCCCCATCCCCGAGGGCGGCGGGGGCGCG